GGGGCGGGGCTAGAGCAGGGCTTCTCCCCCCTGCTCTCCCCTCCCCTCCCAGTGTCCTCTTTTTTGCTTGTGGAAATATGGTAACCCTAGAGGACAAGTAAATCTCTAGCCTTAATGCAAAGGTATCCTTAAAAAGGTAAAGAAATGGAAGCCATTGGTAGGGCTGAAAGTCTATCACTGACTTATTTCCTGAAAGTCACATTGATCACATAAGCTTAGATTGGCTTTTGCATCTTGTTTTTTGGGGGGGGCCTTTGAGGAGGAAAAAGAGATGATGCTCTTGACCAATTTATAGCTGCCCTGGGTGTTGCAGACTCTCTGCTGATTACTATCCATTTGTCTGGGGCTGGGTCAGTCCTGTGCTGAGCCACCATTGTGACCTCTAGCCACAACATGGGGTGTGGTTGAACAACACGTGAGCTAGCATGATAGTGGCCTGAGCATGGGACTTGAATTCTAAGCTCTTTGGGCAGGAACTGTCTTTGTTCTGTTTGTACAGTGCTGAGCTCAATGGGGTCCTAGCTCATGACAAGGGCCCCCAAGCACTACCACAATATAAATAATAATCCCCATGCAGACACTAACTTCCTCTGTGGTCCTGAACAAGTGGGATATCGTCTGTTTTAATTTTCTCATCTTTTCCTATTTTTCAGTACTTCTGCAGTGGACAGTGTGATTTAATTTGTTAGCTCAGGTAGAGAACAGCATAAAAGCAAAGCATTGGGCTGGGGTGGGGAGCACCTGGAAAAAACACATACAACTGTAATGGAGATGAGACACTGGGGAGCAAAAGAGACAGACCAAGAGGGGAAAGTGGGAAAGAGACTGCTTAATTAGTCCATGTGTTCGGTGTTTCTGCTAACAAAGAATAGGTGTAAATGTGAAAGAATGAGAGGAAAGGGCGGGGGAGGGGAGAGTAGAGAATAGTAAACTGAAATGAGGGAAAATGGCACTCGGATGGATGGAATGAGACAGATAAGGGAAAACACGCTTATGACTCTTAAATTTGCAATCTTCCCAACTGTGAACAACCTCAGTCCTTGTTTGATAAAAGTTGAACATGAGTTTAAGCTTCTGAATAAATTACAGTTCTGCTTGCTGTCTGTGTGGTAGATATTGAGGATGGGCAAACTTCAGTGTGTGTTTGTGCTTTATCTGAAGCAGCAAGATGGAACTCGTAGATGATAATACCATAATCAGAGCAAGAGGCTTACCGTGGCAGTCATCTGACCAGGACATCGCAAGATTCTTCAAAGGCCTAAATATTGCCAAGTTAGTTACCAGCAATATATACGTTTATGGCTTTGCAAGACGGAAATGGTGCTTGCTCTGCTTCAGTGATTCACTCTTGTGTCTCCTTTTTCCTTGCCTTGACTCTTTAAGGGGAGGTGCTGCACTTTGTCTCAATGTACAAGGAAGGAGGAATGGGGAAGCTCTCGTCAGGTTTGTAAGCGAAGAGCATAGAGAGTTAGCACTACAAAGACACAAGCACCACATGGGGAATCGGTACATTGAGGTATGCTGCAGCAATGGTGATTTTTCTTTTTCTTTTTTTTAATCTCTTTGATAGGACTACAAATACCATGCCACATATAACTGATTTTTTCCCCTTCTTTCCCTAGGTGTACAAGGCAACAGGTGAAGATTTCCTTAAAATTGCAGGAGGTAATCCACTTTTTCTTTTGTGGGCGGAGATGGGATTCAGTTCCAATAAACACCTGTAACTTAGTTTCAAATTATAAAGTGCTTCTATTGAATGTGATCTCTGAATTGGCTCATAGAATGCATAGGTAGTTGTGCTGAGATTGCTGCCTACTCTGCTGATCATTACGGTCTTACAATTTATGCTGTTCTTTCCCTCACCCCCACCTTTATTGTGACTCATCAATGTGCATAAAAACTGTAAGGTCTCCGGGGCAGGACTGTCTTCATTCTATGTATACAGTGCTTGGCAATGGGGCTCTGATCCCTGAGGAGCTACTGTGACATAAATAAATTCAATATGTTCTCTTCCTTTCAAGGAGTCAGTCAATTAAGCATCTTACCAGACTTGTTCCTGAATTTCATTTGCTACATAATTTTCCCGGGGCCATGGCTTCCATGTAATCAATTATAGAAAAACATAACCTGGATTCTTTCAAAACAGTGATGTAACTCTGTTCTACTTGTTCTCTGTTGTTGTATACAAATCTCTGTGTGAAAGCAAATGAGTTTCAAAATATAAATGCTAACTATTAGGGATGGGTGAAACTGGTTTTTTATTAAACAACTCAAACTTTTCCTGTATCCTAAAATGATCTTCCTTCCAAGGGAAAGTTGATCACCAAACACTGGAAGGATGCAAAAGTGTTTTGTAAACCCTCACACCATCTTCTCTCTCAACTCCTCTCTCACCCAACTGCTCTTAGCCAAGGGGGTTGGATAAGGCTCAACAAGCTGCCACCCAAATCTGTTGTTGGATCTCATTCTCAGGTGCCAGACAGGCTTGGTATAGGAATGACCTGCTTCCCTGTTCTCTGCAGGCTGCAGTAACCTAGTACTTAGAAGCAGCAGATACCAATACTCTGAAACTTTTTAAAGGCTCCCTAGAAGGGGAATGTGTGGGTGAGAGGGTTGGTAATGGAGTGTAGTGGTGCCTTTGACTTCTAGGGGTATGGCTAAACTAGAAGAGGTATGTGTGATTGGCATGTGTCTCTCTTCTAAAGTTTGGCTTTAAACATCTTTCTCCTCCCTCCTCCCTTTTTAAATCCTGGTCTAGACATAAAGTAGGTCACTAGATGGACCCAATTTACAATCTGTTTCCTGATAGACTCTAGTGTCCATTTTCTGGAAAACAGCCACTGTTGGCAACTCCAGTAGAGACAAAGGACTGAGTAGGCATGAAAACTGACTCACCTGAACCTTGGTGATGGTCCCTGGGAGGCAGTGCAGATACACTTGTGGTGCTGCTGGATCTGCACTTCTATGGCTATAGAACTAGGTTGAACTTGGGTCTACATGGTGGTCAGTCTGGCATAGCTTAAACACACAGGTGCACACATCCCTAAAATTGGAAATGTCAGTGGTTTGCCCAGTGGCCCTCTTTCCCCAATCCTAGAGGTAGAGGATGGGATTTTCAAAGGCACCAAAATGCTATGGACTCTCAGTGGGGCTTGTGATCCTTAGTTACTTAGGTACTTACGAAAACTCCACCCACAAAGTTTGTTTTTAATATGATTGACGAGCAATGGCAAACAGATGGATCTTGCATTTCACCCTGTGAAGATAAGGTTTGTGGCTCTCTGTCCGTGCAGCAAAGTATCGTACCAGCTATTCTGAGGTTGACTGGGGGGGTGTTGTACAATCTATGACTTGCTTATTTCATAGCTCACTCTGGAGAGCTGACATGTCTTGGGAAGAGAGAACCAAGTTTGGGATAAGAATACAAACTGACATCCTCCCAACTGGCTGTAGATAGGATGCCTTGGATCACTTTACTGATTTTACTGTGGTATTACATTGGAAATGTAAGCAATGCTGATAGACTCCCATCTAGTTACTGAAGGCAAAACTGGCAAGCTTCTAAAGGTGACAATTGTATCAAGGTGGAGCCAAACTCCTGAACCTTCCTAAATGCACTTTTTTGCTGGTAGTTCCCAGGCCATTGTCTGGGGTAGTTTGGTGTCTGAAACAACATTTCAGAAATATGTTTTTAAAAGTAAGGCTTGGAATTCACCAGAAAAGCCATTCCAGCAGCATCTGTGCTACTATGTGAGAGACTAGTGTTTGCTGACTGGGCATAGTCAATGTTGTAAATGCAGCCTACTTTTCCCTTTGGGTGAGGGTGAATCTCTCATTTAAGCAATCAAAGGAGCAGCATTCTAGGCTTCAAAGGGAGGCGTGTCCCATATGATGACACTTCTGGCTTTCCAGGTGGCTTTTGAGTGGGGAGAAAAATGTGAATTTCAGTTCTATACCCTAGGTGTAAACAATCCATACAGAGAGGGAGTTGCTGTCTTTTATATGTCTGTGGTGTCTCAACTTGGATTTTGTTGTTTTGTTAAAGGTACTTCCAATGAAGCAGCTCAGTTTTTATCGAAAGAAAACCAGGTGATTGTCCGGATGCGAGGTCTTCCTTTCAATGCAACAACAGAAGAAGTGCTGACGTTTTTTGGCCAGCACTGCCCAGTAACAGGAGGAAAGGAAGGAATCCTGTTTGTCACGTACCCTGACAACAGGCCAACGGGAGATGCCTTTGTGTTGTTTGCTTGTGAGGAATATGCACAAAATGCACTAAAAAAACATAAGGACTTGCTGGGTAAAAGGTACATTGAACTCTTCAGGAGCACGGCAGCAGAGGTTCAGCAGGTAGGGTGAAAGCTTCCAAATATCTTGGGCTCTTCTAATCAAAAAAACAGTCAGGAGGACACAGTGGTTGGCATGTGGTTGAGGTCTTGAGGAATTGCTTTGTATCTTGTTGTGGGAGGAGAGTTGTTTGAACTCAAAGTGTGGACAAGGTCAGAAAATGTACCTTGTGAAGCCTTTCATAATCAAGAGTTCTGATCCCTGTTTGTATGCATAGTCAATCTGCTCACTCTAGTGACTGTGTTTTTATTTAAACTGCCCCTTCCCCCCCCGCTCCCCCTCCCCCCGCTAGCTATGCAGGCGGCATAATTAAGAGACTATCAACAGGACCACTTACTAAGTTCTGACCAGTCATACCTGGGCAAGCCTATTGCACATGCAGGGTTTGCACAGGCCCAGTGGAAGGCCTCATTTGGCTTGCAGAACCTTTACTGGGGGGGATGCAGATGGCGGCACTCAGGCTGATTTCAGGGGGCTGGCAATTACAAGAACAACTTCTAAATTAAGTACACTTGATCTGGAATCATTGGGACACACAAGTAGAGCTTCACAATCCCACTTTTCATCTCTTGAGTTGACCTGCGTTTGAAGACCACTAGTGTCTAACAAATCATGTAAAGTATCATCAGAAGGCTGAGATCCTCTGCTTTCCAGTGGTATATAACATTAATTAGTAGTCCTGGGAAATTTAACCTGGAGTTGACTAAATTCTAGAAAACAAACCACCAACAACCAAAAAAAACCCCTTGTTTTCTGAGTTCAAATTTTCTATCTTAGTTGCTTAACGTTAACTTCTGTCTAATGATGACTATCTGGTTAGAGGCCTGGTCACTGTAACTTATTGCAAGTTGCGTGATTCAGTTTGGCTGCATAGCAGCACGTATTTGTTTCGGCTGCTACCATGATGCCTAACCGTGTTGGTATTAGTGCATTCTAGGAAAATCTGGACAACTGTCCTGGGCAGAGCAATCCCTAAAGTAAAAGAAGGAATATTGTGCTTTCTATTACCAAAAGTGGTGGAGATTCAGCTCCCCATCCTGTCCCTGGTTGGGGTAAAAGTAGTCCCACACAGCTCTCTCTCTTTATCTTATACTGTGAGAGCTCTCTCTCTCTGTTTCCGTCTGCTTTAATCTCTTCAGCAAGACACAGATTGTGAGGACAATAGTAGAAGGGGGAGGGGGGGCAATGCATTTTGGGATATCTTGCCACATAAAGACCTGCAAGGAAATAGGATCAGTTAAACCAGTTACAGAAACTGAGAGTCCTCTCCATGCTGCAAACAGTATGTTGAACTGGCTACCAGCAGTCAATCATGTGCCAGTCTTGGTCAAGGAGACTTGTTGCAGTGGTAGGAAGTGTACTAGCACACATGCTGCTCAGCTGATTGGTATTAACAGTGGAAATGCTAGTGTAGACTGACCCTTGTCATTTCTGGCATCTTGTCACACACACAAGTTTTGAGTTAACCTGGATTTTTCATAGATCTGGAGTTTGACTCTTTCTATAGAGCCTTATCTGTTTGCACTGACAAAAACATGCATAATATTGCTATATGCATAGAAGTTTTACATAGGTGTGATCAAAGGAAATGATTGAATATTCACATAACTGTTAGGCAGGGCTCTTACTGTTTAAACTAGAAACAATAAATCTAAAATGTAACATGATCTTTTTGGCCAAATACAGTTACTTTTAGCTGACAGATGGTGTTGCTACGTGGGCTACTTCAGTCATTAAAATAACTAAATGGTGGCTTACACTGTACCGTAGCACATGAAACAAAAATCTTCTTCTAGTTTCAGGACTCTTCTCTTCCTCCACCTTGACAGTGTAGTCTTGTGTCCTGGTTAACAGCTGCTGCTTTTGTCATCTAGGTTGGATGCCTTTTATTGGAAGCAACTCTTCTATGACCATATAAAGTGCTTTGGGATCCTACAAGATGAAAAGTATTATGTAAATGTAATATACATAATTAGTAAGTTGCTGCTCTGATACATCTTCTGGTATGGAGCACTGCAACTTGCAGTCTGATCAAAAAGAAACCAAGATGACATTTTCAAATAAAGCCACCCAAAGACTTCAGACTTATTCAGAACTTATTAATTCAAGCTGTATTTTTATCCTTGATTAAAAGCCTAGTGCTTAGATGACTTACCTTCTAAGTATTGCACAAGTTGACTATAATTTACAAAAATTCTATCTACATTCAGTTCAGTAGAACAAGCTTGAGGTCTCACCATTTCTTTGTTTCTGTTTTTGTGCAGGTGCTGAACAGGTACTCTTCTACACCTCTCGTTCCCCTTGCAGCACCGCCTATCCTTCCCGTGTTACCTCAGCAATTCATGCCTCCGACCAATGTCAGAGACTGCATACGTCTGCGTGGTCTTCCCTATGCTGCCACTATAGAGGACATCTTAGAATTCTTGGGGGAGTTTTCTGCAGATATTCGGACCCATGGGGTTCACATGGTATTAAATCACCAGGTAGGTAGACAACAGGAGAATGCAAGTCATGGTTGCCTGTGTGCTACCCACCACATGATCCCCTGGGTTGATTACTAGTAGAATAGTAGGAAAGCTGCCTTGATAAAGCCCCTAAATGCTCAAAGGGGAGACAGCTACTGATTCGGTCCTCCAGGAGTGTAATGGAAATAATCAATAGTCTTTCACAGAACCTAACTGATTCAAGGCATTATATTTTTTTAATACTGGACCCAGTGTAGCAAACAAATTGCTAACAGGATCAACTGAAAACTTGGTATGGTTATCCGTAAATGTATGTAGAATTATTTCCATTGTCTGTAAATAGGTAATTCATGTTGCACGTGGGGGTTTTGAAAGCATGATGTTTTGGGCTCTATATGGTGAAACATACAACATCACACCTAAAAAGATTAAAAACATTTCCTCTCTTTTTCTTGATGATAGTAGATGAGGTAGTGGGGGTGAGGAATCTGTTTTTGTGGGGTTGTGATTAAAAAACAAACCAGCAACAAAAACCTTTTTAGACTCTCCAGCCAAAAAGTCTTGTCTATAGTTTGTTTGACTAATGGTAGGGGCTTCTTTTGTGGGGGTTTTAATTTTGTTTTGTTTTGGGGGTTTTTTTTGGGTGCCCAACTTAAAAGGCCTTTAAAAGGGACTCTTTAAGAGGATGGGTATTCAGCATTTTCTGAAACCAGTCCTTTTTAAGGCTTCTTAAATTGGGCACCAAAAATCATTAGAGCCAGGGGCCAAGGGTTGTAAGAGAGTCTCTGCCTCATTTTAATATGGCCCAATACATTAATTTCAAAGACTTAGTTACTTGAATGTGATGCAGAAAATGTCAAGTAAATTCAAAGATTTTAATAATGTGTTTTATGTCCAGAAGATAGACACTACATTAATTAATTAATCTCTCACAACCTACCAAAATCTCTTTTAAGAGGATTATAAAGGCAAGTTGATGTTTGTAACTTTGTGTGACAGTTATGCTTTTTCACTCTTATTTAACATCTGTTATGGGGCACGCACAAAGGGGCAAGCATGTGTGTTGCTGTTTATTTGGTGATTTTGTTATATAGGGTAAACAATGTGATACTCTATAGGCTTGGAAGAATTAATTTGTTTTTTTAGTTTAGATGGATGTCAATGTTCATTTTTAAGCATTATTTTTATCTATTTAAATTTTCACAATTGTGGGAAATTATGGGTGGGGTCAGAAGTTCAGAGGGTATCATGTAATTAACGATAGTCCATATTGAGATTCAAAAACTTAAAGCTTTATAACCGCTAAAACACAATTATCAATATCACAGGTCAAAACATATTAAGTAAATATTCCTAAATCAAATGTTAAATTCTCAAGCAGCATTTTTCTTAATTTGCTGGTCTATAAATTTATATCGTAATGATAGAAATATTTTTGGTCGGTTTGTATGTGTATGGTGAAATAAACATTTACCAGTAAAAATCTAATGCTTCCAAGCCTACTATATAACTGGATTTCTGAAAAAAAAATTGCCTCTCTTCCCTGGGATTACAGATTAAACTGTTCCATTTACTCAACCAAAATATACAAATTGATACTTAATTTCATTCTTGTACTTCACAAATCTTTAATCTCGTATCAAAATCCTTAGAAACCTGATAGCTGACCACTCTGAACTAGCAATCTCTTAAACTAGCAATTGTCCCTCAGGGAGGGCTAGTTCCCATTCTCCCATAGCTTGTGATATGGGTATGGTTAAAATTTTGTCACGGTTGCTTTTAGTAAAAGTCACGAACGGATCGTGGACAATAAACAGAAATTCATGGAAGCCCAGAGGGCTGCCTAGAGGATTCAGGGGCCCTGGGGCAAAGCAATTTCGGGGGCCCCTTCCATAAAAAAAAAATTGCAATACTATATTCTCGTGGGAGCCCCTGTGGGGCCCTAGGCCTGGGGCAGATTGCCCCACTTGTCCCCCACCCCCACCTGGGCAGCCCTGGAAGCCCATGACCTGTCTGTGACTTTTACTAAAAATAATGAGGGGGGACTGATTTGGGTGGGAGGGGTGTGTGTGTGTGAGAACCTGAGCCCTGCTGTGGGAAGTGGGGAGGGTTTAGTACTCACTGCCCCGGCGGCTGAGAGCTCCATGGCTCGAGCTTGAGAGTTCTAGGTCCCCTCTGTCACCTGCAGCGGCTTGGCACTTCGGGAGCCAGCGGCTCTGCACTCTGGGGGCCCCAGCCCCAGGGCTGAAGCGGAAAATGTCACGGAGGTCTCTGAAAGTCACAGAATCCATGACATAATTTATCCTTAGAGATGGGGTTAATGACCTGTTTGACTTAATCCATGAAGGCCTGGTTTACTCTAGACAATTAAGTCAATTTAAATCCATGTTCTCTGAGCAGCATAATTAAGCCAACCTGACCCCCCATTGTTGACCATTCTAGGTTAACAGAACAATTCTTCTGTTGGCTTACCTACCACTTTTCAGGAAGGTGGATTATCTACACTGATGGGACAACCCCTCCCATTGGTGTAGGTAGTGTCTGTGTACGCTGAAGTGCTGCAGTGGCGCAGTTGTGCTGCTGTAGCATTTCAAGTGCAGACAAACACTAAGTAAAGAACAGATATTAGACAACATGAGTTTTATCTGAAGCTTGTTCCTTCAATCTGTCTCACATGTTCAAACGGTCTTGTAAATTACTCTGGACATGAACCATAATCTGTTATGATGACACCACATACACTATCCATGCTCAAATTGTCTTGGACTGACGTTTTGCCTTACTTGTCCCATTCTCTTTGGCTTTCTTCCTGGCCTGTGAAACTCGTAAAGCGCACTAAACTTGGTGCTCTACTAACAGAAGAAGATAGTCCTTGCACCAAGGCTCTTATAGTCCACTTCAGACACTGACAGTACAGTCTAGATATGCGAGACACATGTTCCAAACTTGAACCACTAGCTCTGTGAGTGGCATCACAAAAGTGTAAGGTTTTTAAGGAAGGATGTAATTGTACACATGGCAGCCATCTTTTCAGTGACTGAAACCTGGGTCTTTTATCTCTCCAGTATAGACCTCTACCACTTGGGCTCAAGGATTAACTAAATTGGCTGGACTGCCAATTCTAAGACTAATTTTTAAATGTCCAGAGATGGTCCAGGAATAAATTAAAAGCATAATTTGTCAACACAGCTTGAGTGCCTGTGTGGGGAAAATGTTGGTGAAGAGATCTGCTGTCTTGCCATCTGTTGCTCTCCTTGTGTCCAACACAGCATGTAGTGGTAGACAGGAATCCTGCCACAACTGCCGCGTGGGAGCAGATCTCCTGCTCCAGTGTAAGGATTTGTCTGTACATCGTCTATTCAGGAATACTCCAGCTTTAGACAAGAGCTTGAGTGAGCATAGCTGCCTTAGTGACCCCCTCTGCGGGGGAGAGAGAAAGTTCTTTATTGCAGTATAGCCTGTGGTTATGACCATGGTCCATCTCCACTCTTCCTTCTTCATATGGCAGATAAGCTCTGCATAGGGCCTGAATTCCCTCCTGTTCAACCTTCCCAAATCCTAACCCCTGCATAACTGAGCTGCACCAGTTCATTACATGTTGGGCTGGCTACACCTGGTTGGCATTTTCCTCTTGCAAAACCTTCTGTCTGAGGAGTTGAGAGTTTCACCAGTGCTGGTGAATTCAACTGCACAATACCGCATGTTAAGGGTAGCTGATCACCCCGATTATACTGATGGAGTATTGAAGGGGACAGAGGAGATTAAACTTCTTGTCCAGTCACAGGTGGTGTCTATCTCTTGGTATGCTCATATGTTGTAAAGGTCCATGTCTTGTAAGCTTGGCCATTTGCAGTTTAAAAGCAGCAGTAGCTTCCCAAGGCACATATATACTTGCCTCTGCCTCAGTAAGTAACAGACACTGGCTATGTTTAGGAAAAGCTTTTCATGTGTAGATTAAAAGGTTTTTTTGCAGTGTCGAAACTTTGTTGGTCCCAGGATATTAGAGAGACAGAAGTTGGTCCAATAAAAGATATTACCTCACCCACCTCATTTCTCGAATAGGTTAAAGGCTTCATTCAAAACTGCTGCCACAGTGCACATGTGAGAGGGTAAAGATTTTGTCGTGCTTGACTTGTATGGGAGCCTTGTGGAATAATGTTAGCGTTTAAATGGTCAAGCTAAGCACTGAGATTAATCAGTGGCTCACAAACTTGAATACAGTCACCCCTTTGCTATCGTTGTTGTTGCTTTTTGTCTCCAAGACCCTGTTCCTCTTTATATAAGGAAATGTGCTCTCTGAACAGAGGACTAAAGTTCCTAGGCCTTGTCTACTCTAGAAAGTGTTTTGGTGGTGGTGGTTTTTTTTGTTTCCTTCCAGTGTAACCTAGGGCATGCTTTTAAACCAATAATTCTACAACTATAAACCATCCCATGTTGCACCCTCCTTCCCATGTAGGCACTCTTATTCTGGTATAAGAATGGCTTTTGGGGGGTTCAGCTTAAGTCCCTTCCCAAGCAACCTAAGCTTAAATGGAAAAAAGGCTTATACTGGGATAAGAGGTCTTCTAAACTCTTATTTTTACTAAAGCTATACTTGGAGCTAACGTGTGGCATTTTTATTCTCTCTATTCTGAGCCATAAAAATAGTCAGGCTATACTATAGATAAGTTTTACTTAAATATTCAAAACAAATAATAGTAGAAGGCTGACAAACATTGATGTAATGTACAGTGGGCAGACCATGGGCCCAGGCAGTAGTGAGAATTTAAGTGTATCAGAACTGTTGATTGGTACAAGAGTTGGGGTGGAATGGTCAAATAGTCTCTGTAAAAGATGCTGCTAACATTGCAAGTGACTCCTGTTTTGGTACCACATGAGTATTTACATTGGAACTATAGATTTGCTCTTGTTCCTTTTCTTGGTTTTTCAGGGCCGTCCATCAGGAGATGCCTTTATCCAGATGAAATCTGCAGACCGAGCTTTTTTGGCTGCACAGAAGTGTCATAAGAAAACCATGAAGGACAGATACATTGAAGTCTTTCAGTGTTCTGCAGAGGAGATGAACTTTGTATTAATGGGGGGCACTTTAAATCGAAATGGCTTGTCCCCACCACCATGTAAGTTACCATGTAAGTTTTGCATGGTTCTTGGCGCTACTCTACGCTGTGTGCTGGTAGGTGTTGGAGCTTCTTTCTCTTCCCAGTTCTTTGTACGGTATATTGAATGGGGGTGGAATTGCAAGGCTTTTCAATCTGAAATCAGCAGAAGCCTGTGATCATTTTTCTTTTGGTTGTGGATTACTATTACTGAAGAAGAATTACTTTCAAATTATACTCTTCTTTTCCACTGACAAACTTGTTTTCTGCAACTTAATTTGCTCTGGACAAGCAATAACTCTGAAAGGGAACTTTGCCCAATAAAAATTTAAATGTGAATTAGTTTATCACTGTGTGTGGACTCCATGCCCCTCCCTCTCTTTTAAAGGCTAATTCTTGCAACCACTGGTAATGCTTTTTTCCAAGTCTAAACACAAATATTCTACCTGTTGAACAGCTACTAACCCCTGGACTCTTCCCTAGACATCCAGAATGCATGGAGTTAAGGTTGCTGGTGTGTGAGTGAAATATGTATTTAGACATGCAGCTAAGCTAGCCAAATGTCTTGGTGGATCAGAAAACAGTACTTTGCTTCAAGCTGTGCTCCTTACTGGGTATGAGTCATTTGGGAAAATGGGATCTTATCTAATATTTGGGAGAAAACACTTTAAAGGCTCAGGGGCTGACATCTGTTTAAAATAATATGGCTTTGAACCCATGGGAAAATAATACTTTGCTTCAAAGATTGCAAATGACAGGATAATTGAGGTAGGATCCTCCTATTTATGCAGAAGAAATGGAATAGTCTAAATCCAGACAGGTTGGTTATGACCAATGCTGTTTGTTTACCTGGTGGCTCCTTGGTAGTCCATAGAGAGTTGGTCCCAGTCCACTTTCTAGTGGACAAATCATAGAATATCAGGGTTGGAAGGACCTCAGGTCATCTAGTCCAACCCACTGCTCAAAGCAGGACTAATCCTCAGACAGATTTTTACCCCAGTTCCTTAAATGGCCCCCTCAAGGATTGAACTCACAACTCTGGGTTTAGCAGGCCAATGCGCAAACCATTGAGCTATCCCTCCCTCCATCAGAGAAATTACCGCCATCATAATTGGTCCCCTTGTCAGCAGAAAGGCAAAGGCCTGAATGGGAGTGAGGGATAGACAGGTCACTCTCCCCTAGAGATGGGGCAAGAGTACTCTGATTTTTGTTCAGAGACTTTTGTGAAGGTTCCCAGAGCAGGCTAATGAACTCTGCTGAAATCATGGAAAAGTTTTTGGATTTCTGAGTTTCACCTTCTTACAGCTGTGAGCACAGGTGACTAAAAGTTCAAACAGGCCATGTCCCCTTGTCTGCTTATGATGGGGGAAGTGAGGAGTGGAGTCATCAGATGGTCTCTTCACAACTGCTGGTCCCTTAAAAAAAAGTGTGATCAATTTTGCCATTCCTAGTCTGTCTACATTGATCAGAATATGGTGGTGGAAGAAGGAGAGACACACTACTCTCAAGTGCTTTGGGGAATAGTCTGACCCCCAAGTTCTTGTATGTGTGCAACTTGTAGAAACACCCTTTGTTTTTTGAATTTGCATTATCCTGTTAAATGAAGTGACATGGTTGGAAGTACCAAGGAATAATATAATGCCCCTGTTGGGGATGGAGATCTCTAAATTGAAGGAATGCCCTGTATAATGGGAAGATTGGACAGCTATAATCTTGGATAGTGACCAACTTTGCTCTTGTCTTTTGAAGAGAGGAGACTTAACTGAAACTAGACCAGCAAACCAACTCATCTCTCTGGAAAGATTTAGAGTAGCAGCCGTGTTAGTCTGTATCCGCAAAAAGAAGAACAGGAGGACTTTGTTAGTCTCTAAGGTGCCACAAGTCCTCCTGTTCTTCTTTTTTCTCTGGAAAGAGAATTTTTTCCCACAAATCATAGAATCCTAGAAATGTAGGGCAGGAAGGGACTTTGGTAGGTCATCTAGTCAAATTCCCTTCACTGAGGCAGGACTAAATATTACCTAGACCATCCCTGATAGATGTTTGTCTAACCTGTTCTTAATATCACTGACTAAGATTCCACACCCTCCCTAGGCATTTTGTCCAAGTGTTTAACTGTGCTGACAGGAAGTTTTTCCTAGTGTCTAATCTAAATCTCCCTTGCTGCAATGTTATGCCCATTACTATGTGTCCTGTACTCTGTGGTTAAGGAGACCAATTTATCATGTGCCTCCCTATAATAACCTTGAGAGCAAAAGATGGCATCTGTGTATTGTCACATACCTTTTTTTGTTTTGTGATTTCTACACAGATAACTTTATGAAAATGTGAGCAAGTTTTTTCCAGGTTGGAAAGACCCTAGATTTACTTTGAGGCTGTCTTGCTGAATATACTGGAATTTGGTGAACCATGTTAATCTATCCTCCTTTGGTTCTTTTAGGTCTTTCTCCTCCGTCCTACTCACTTCCAGCTCCTGCAGCAGTTATTCCAACAGAAGCTGCCCTTTATCAGCCCTCCATGCTTTTGAATCCACGAACGCTCCAGCCCTCCACAGCATACTATCCAGCTGGCGCTCAGCTCTTCATGAACTACACGTACTATCCCAGGTAAAGCAATGAGACCGGAACAAAGAAGTCCTTTTACAGCAAATGCATGAAGCTCTCTAAAGAGTATTGGCTGCCATGGTGAAGGCTTGTGCTATAGGGAATAGCCTGCTCAGTATTTGATCAGGGTAATTATTTCGGAATCCACTGGTGGGGTTCCAGTTTTAGGTGGCAAATTTTAATGTGTGTAAAATATTGGTCACTTGAATAGCGTGTGACTTTTTGAAAAGTGACCAACTGACTTAGAAGCACACTTGTTATTGCCTCTCCGTGGGAATTGTCCTTTTTTTGTTAAGGGGCTTTGTTAGGTAAAAATCCCATGGTTTGCGTCTTAAAATCAGAGGTTTGCACTAATGTCTTTTACCAGAATTTTGCCTCTTCCTTCCCTCAACTTGTTTTGCAGTGTTCTGACTGATGCCCTCCACCCTCAAGGTAACTGCTTTTCAGTGTCGCTGTACAGTTAAAGGATTTTGTAAACTTTGATGGGGAAAGGCGCTATGTAAATATTCCCACGTGCTTCAGTGCAAGTTGACTGACTAATGTTCTTTTCCCTCCTCCATCCCCCATTTCTCTCCTCTGAGGGCTTTTAGCTTTTCCTGGTTAAAGGAAACAAACACCGGTCTCTTGTGGGTGGAATATAGTGGGTTTAATGTATACTTCACAATCACAAAGTAACTGTTAGTTCTGACTGGAATGCAAAGTACTTCATACTGTTGAGATTGTATGTGAGGTCTGGTATACACTACAAAGGTCAATGTAAGCCGTCTTGCGTTAACCTAGTTGTGCATGTGTCTACATTTAAACTTGTCTCTCACTGATATAAGCACCACATTAGAGATGCAGTAACACCGTCCCCCAGTGAGCCGGGGTCAATGTACTGAGGTCAATGTAGCAAGAGGGTAAAAGCTGTTGCCTATGACAACACTAACAGTCCTCCAGCAGCTGTCCCACAATGCCTGACACTGATAGCTCTGCTCACAATGGTAAATGCCCAGTGGTCACAGAAACCGAACGGCCTCCCTTCCCTTTAAAGCCTCATACATTTTTTTAAATGACTTTTCCTGATTGTCCAGCTTGGCAAGCACATCTAGCAGCTGACCATGCAGGCTACATGCTCCAGAGGTACTCCGAAATGGAGTAGACTGGAGATATTGGATCTCCTAGGCCAGTGAGAAGAAGAGGCTGTGTAGGCATAGCTACAGACCCGCCAAAGAAAGGTGGATATCTATGAGCAGATTGCATGGGAGGCAGGCGAAGGGGTATGACCAGGACTGGCACCAGTGCCATATGAAAGCAAAGGAACTGTGTCAAGCTATCAGAAGGCCAGCAATGCCAACAGTCGATCTGGTGCCGAGCTGCAGACGTACCGCTTTTACAAAGAGCTGAATGCTGTACTTGGAGACCCCACCACCACTCCACAGACTATTGTGGATACCACCAAGAAGCCCAAGTCTCAAGCCTCTGGCAAGGAAGAGGTGGAGGAGGATGGGGAATGTGAGAGTGGGAGGTCCAGCTACAAGGTGAACCAGAACCTGTTTGAGACTCCACCGCAATCCAGTCGGTCCCAGCAGTCAAGCACAAGCGAGCCTGATGCGGGGAAGCAACCTTGGGTAAGTGTGTAAATGTATTTCCCATTACAATGATGGCACCTTCAACTTACCAGGACACAGCTGTTGACTCTTCATTAATTTACTTGTTGTAGAAGAGGTAGTGTTATCTGCTTTTCATTCCCCTCTAGAGGTAGGATAGTGGGGCCATGTGGAACAATTTGTTTATGTACACAGGGATGTTCCTTGAATCCTCCTGAGTGTCTTGATGAAACTTTCATGGAAGTACTCTGCAACCCTCTCCAGAATGTTTCTAGGGATGGCAGCCTTATTTCTTCCTTTGCAATAAGGACACTTTCCCATGCCAGTCAATAATAATTTGAGAGACAAGATACGTGAGGTAATATCTTTTATTGGTCCAACTTCTGTTGGTGAGAGAGACAAACTTTCAAGCCACACAGAGCTCTTCAAGTCTGGGAAAGTGATGCTCTGCGTACATTTCTGTGTGGCTCGAAAGCTTCTCTCACCAAGAGAAGGTGGTCCAATAAAAGATATTACCTCACCCACCTTGTCTCGTTAATATCTTGGGACTAACATAGCTACAACTACACTGCATACAGTAATAACTTTGGCATGTGCCACTGCAGTACACAGGCTAGCAGCATACAAGCCTGGAGGCTTCAGGACACCAGCAGCGCTCTGTGCCTTTGTTACCCTCAGGAGAGCGAGATCAGATAAAACCTTCAGCATTTGTGGTCAATGGTGCCAGCGTTCAGTGCCATTGCCCTTTATGCATAGCTTCATGCAACTGAGCAATTCCCTCTTCATTTCCCTCACTCCTGGTGGGCGATACTCATCAGTGCTGGTGCTGTGAGTGGTACTGCACACAAGCACTCTGTAGCAGAAGTGTCAATAAGCATGTCTGGTGTAAAATTTTAGGGGAGGAAGGGAAGGGAGTTCTGAATTTTCACTTTCACTTTCCACTGTGACTATACTGACAATAGTACCTCTGTGTGTTTTATCTGCAGCTGCTGCCGTTGCAGCCTTGAGGGGTTCCACAGCCACAACTGTGGAACGCCTAAGCCAGATAAGGAGAAAAAAGAGGACTCAGGATGACACATTCAGCAAGATCCTGCAAGCCAGTGTTGCATCAGACCATGAGCAAGGGGCCTGGAGGATGAACACTGCAGGTAGCCTGTAGAAAGTTCCAGGAATCTTCGAAGAAAAAAAAGAATCAGATGCACCAGGACATGACTGGGCTTCTTCGGCAGCAAACAGATGCCGAAGACTCTTGTGGACCTACAGGTTCAACAGTCATGGGCTTGCCTCCCTTTGCAGTTCATGGAGAACTCCATTACAGCATCATCTCCCTACACACCCGCTCAACATACCACATGGTATCAGGGGGCCGCATCCCGACTCCTATCACTTCACCCCAAAGAGCATTAAGGACAGCCACACTTCTCATACATTGACCTGAGACAGCAACCATGGCTGTCTCAGGTCAATGTATGTGTAGGTAAAATGGACATGAATGTTCTTTCCGCTTAAGTTCTGTTCCATTAATTTAAGTTTTTAATGTATTTGCTTTTAAATTGCACGGACTTCTTGGACTGACTTAGTTACTGAATAAAATTCTATTTGGAAAAATAATTCCTCTTTATTAGTTCACAACATATGCTGCAGAGAACTTAGCAGTTCTGAAAGGACCCACTTCTTGCTGTACAGTGTGACAGCACATAGGATCAGTGACACAATGTAATAATCCTACATGTACAGCAAACGCTTCAAAATTAATAGGAGCATTGACAGTGTTATATTCACAGATGTACAACATGTATCACACAATTCCTAACAGAATTGAAAACAGCAGGACCAGGTAGAGCACAATCCACCACAATGTATTACTGTGGCTCGCAGTTAAAGTGCTCTTTCAAAGCCTCTCTTAGCCATATAGCTCAGGGCTGAGCTCTTCTAATAGCCCTTGTGTCTAGCTGTTGAAACTCGGCAGACAGCCACTCCACTTCCCACTCACAGCAAATTTTTCCCCTTTTGTTTCACAGATATTATGTGGGACACAGCAGGCAGCTATAATCATTGTGATTTTTTTTTTTAAATTCAGGTCCAATCTTGTGAATGAAGTGACACTGGCGTTGTTTAATCTATCAAAAGCTCATTCAGTTGTCATTCTGCACCTGCTGAGCCAGTGGTTGAACCTTTCCTTGGTGCTGTCAAGGTGGCCGGTGTACAGCTTCATGAGCCAGGGGAACAACAGCTAGAATGGGTGTCCCCCAGGATTACTATTAGTATTTCGACATTGGCAATGGTTATCCACCAGGTGGGAAAGTCCCTTCTTGTAGCTTTCTGAACAGTCCTGTGTTCTTAAAGATTCAAGTACAGATATTCCCCAGGGTTACGCAAATCCGCACTTATGGAAAAAGTTCCATAAGGCTTTTTTTTTTTTTGCGTAATTTTTGGGTATACATTCCCGACTTACGCAAAATTCGACTTATGCAAGGCGTTCCGGAAGAGAACGCTTGCATAAGTCAGGGAGCATCTGTATCATGCACCTTCTCTGACCAGCTAACCCTGATGTTGTTGAAGCATCCCTGGCGATCCACCAACACTTCATAATTATAGAAATAGTCCTTTCTGACCTCTGCGGCAAGGTGGCCTGGTGCCAAAATAGGGATACATATGCCATCTATTGCTCCACAGCAGTTTGGGAACCCCATTGCTACAAATCCATCCACTACATTCTGCACATTGCTCAGAGTCAGTCCTGCATAGCAGGAGGCGATTAATGGCCCTGAACACTTGTATGACAATGGGCCCCACAGTGGATTTTGCATCGCCAGAATGATTTCCCACTGTTTGGTAGCAATCCAGCTCTGCAGGTTTCCACAGTGCAATTGCCACTCACTATTCCCATTGTCAATGCAGCTCTCATTTTGGTGCCCTTGCACTGGAGGACTGAGGCAAGCTCAGCAAATCCAGAAATATGGCTTTGCACATCCGGAAGTTCTGCAGCCACAGCTTGTCATCCCAAGCCTCCGTTATGATGTCATCCTGCCAGTCAGTGCTCATTTCCCAGGCCCAGAGCAGCGCTCCACCCATCTGCAGCTGCTCTGTGAACACCACCAACAATCTTAGAATTGATTCACATATATTTCACAGCAATCTGTCCTCCAATAAATCGTCATATTCCCACTGATTCAGTTCTTCTTACAACTCTGCGAATATTGGAGGAACGTGCGTTCTGTGCTTGCAACACTTATGACAATAGTGCAGAACTGTGCAGGCTCTGTGCTTCTGTCAGAGATGGTGGACAGTAAGGAGGGCCATGTGAATTGGTGTGTGGTTTTTTTTTTAGGTGCAAAAATTATAGGATATAGATAATTGCACGCTGAGAAGTGGACTCCTTGCTCCCAATCCCCCATGTGCAACTCATTTCTG